CTGTCTGTTTATCGTGATATGGGTAATCAACAAAATATGCGCGACGCTTTCTTTATCTATAGAATTTACAACAGAATTCGGAAGCACCTGAGCAATTAAACTAAAACAATTAGTTGTCTCAGGCTCAATGAACAGTGATTAATAATCTCCTCGACTTTTTCTCGGGGATTATTCAACAATTTAACAGTTTTACGTAATGGCAGTAATGTCGCAATCTGATTGACTGCGCATCGTAAGTCCACAACATTTTGACCAGTGTGATGACGAATATCGCGGTCAATAAGAGTATAGACCATACTTGACCACTGTCAATTTGTTTTTTTGCTTTTTTTTTCTTTTTTTAATCGCAATATTGACTTAAGATAAAACGATTCTTTCAGTGCGTGACCATTGCGTTAACGTTGAATGAGTTTGGAGAATTGGCTTCTCCTTCATTTTACAAATATCGACCATTTTTTTTCATTCTCTAACTTTATTAGTTTCTATTAATGTGAATTAATTGAATTCGTAACTGAACTTAGACTTTAGACTTTAATACCAAGAGATAATACCAAGGTCGATTTTTCTCTTGCGTCCGGTGAATTACCGATTGTTTGCCTGAGCTGTCGTCTCTCTGATTAATTGAATTCGTAACTGAACTTAGACTTTAGACTTTAATACCAAGAGATAATACCAAGGTCGATTTTTCTCTTGCGTCCGGTGAATTACCGATTGTTTGCTTGAGCTGTCGTCTCTCTGATTAATTGAATTCGTAACTGAACTTAGACTTTTGACTTTAATACCAAGAGATAATACCAAGGTCGATTTTTCTCTTGCGTCCGGTGAATTACCGACTGTTTACCTGAGCTGTCGTCTCTCTGATTAATTGACTTCAATTAACGTTCAATTCATTTCAGCTGCTGCTGAGCTAGCCTATGCGCGTGTAGCAGTACCCTCCCCCGACGGTGAAACGGAAGCGAGGGAACGACATGAACTCAAATATAGTTACTGTGGAATCAAACGCTGTCTAATCCTCGACGTCCGTAGCAGTTCGCTTGAAGCAAGTCTCCGTGTTTCAGGAAACCGTGATGAATTTCAGTTCCCGTTGCAAGTGATCTCTACTGAACTATTTTCCCCCGTTATTGCTGCGTTCCCCGCAATTTCCAGTTAGTGCGGAAAACCTATCGTCACAAAATCAAAGGCATTTAAAAAGCGCGACGCGCATGCAAACGGATGAACTCCAATTCCCCAGACGCTCCGAATCTTGTCACGAAGGTTACCAATCATTTATCTCCATAAAGAAATTCAATATTTTTTGGAAGGAAGAGAAGGACCAAAAGGGCATACGCAGCTAATTTGCGTTACTGATTCTTGTCGGTCTCGTCTCTAAAAGAAACACACCTTGTTCACGAAAATATGGCCACAATATCCTTACGTTCTCGTGACGAATCATAGCAAATAATTCACACGGCAAGGTTAATCTTAAAAGTCAAAATCATATATGCACCGCCAATGGTTATAAAAAAAAGAGGCGTTTGGAGCCTTAATTTTTTTTCTCAAGGCATAAAGGGGCTTGGCAACAAGTTGCGGACATGGAAAAACAAAAAATGAAAATAAAAGCTACAGTTTGCCCAAGATAATATAAACTCTTTGTGCTCAGAGCGAAAGGCGAACAACTGAAAACAGCAGGGACTTGGCGAAAAACAGCAAAACCTTTCTGCAATTCTGAATGACTATCGACCTTCGAGCGAGAATTTCTCAAAAAGTGAACAAAACACGACAAATTAAACTGAAACATTTCGTTTCTTAATTCCTTTTATTGAAGTCATCAATCCTTACTGTTGTGTCTCACTGTCCATCAGTCTGAAAATGAAAAGAATATTTAATTTCCAGAAGGATTTTTGGTAAAAAAAAAAAAGGATGAATCAACGTTGACATTTTTATGTTTCAAAGCGCTACTTTACCTCACATCAGGAAAACGGCCAGTACATCAGCAACTCCTACATTTTCTGGTGATATTGAGAAAACATATGTATTAGTTCAGAAACTGGTTTTGGGGTGATTATTTGAAAGTTTTTATTTCTTTAAGTGTTTGTTTTCTCAGAACAGTTTCGGTGTCTTCAGAGACCAACAATTTGAGGAAAACGGGGAGACTCAAAAGGGACAGAGATACAAAGCATTCCTTAACAGTAGGGACCATTTTGGCAAGCGAGGTGGACAGCAACGCCGAGGAAATCCTCGATTAAAAATGAATTTTATATTTTTGGCAAGAATTTCGCGAATGGCTGGATTTGTTTACCGTCTCTTACAGCGACACACGCCAACTTCAACATAAGGTGTGTCAAAAAGCGCTGAGTTCCAACTGAAAACTTGAATAATCTGCCGTCGAGATTTCTGTCCTTAGACCTTAGAGGCATATTTTGGTGATTTCACGTTGCTGTTTTCCAGAGAAATGCTAGGAAATGTACAAAGTTTTAAAACGAACGAGCTGAACTATTGTTCTGCCGAAGAAATCTTTTGT